CTTGTTGCCCAGGCTGGAGTGCAATGGTGTGATCTCAGCTCCCTGCAACCTCTGCCTTCTGGGTTCAAGCAATTCTCCTGCCTCAGCCTCCCGAGTAGCTGAGATTACAGGTGTGCACCACCATGCCTGGCTAATTTTGTATTTTTAGTAGAGACGGGGGTTTCTCCATGTTGGTCAGGCTGGTCTCGAACTCCTGACCTCAGGCGATCCACCTGCCTCGGCCTCCCAATGTGCTGGGATTATTACAGGCATGAGCCACCGTGTCTGGCTGCCTGAGGTGCTTTATATTCCTGGAGTGCAGAGGGCTTTGGAAGCTGTGCAGCAGTGGTGTGGAGGGAGACCCAAGCCTAAGCTCAGAGTGGAGGGACCTTGGGCACTGCCTGGCCTTGAGGCTCTCTCTGCCTCCTCCTCCCCTGCACTGTCAGACCCCAGTGGCTCTGGGCTGGCCGGGAGGCTGCAGTTGAGTCTTGGCTATACATTAGCATCATGTAGGCCCCTAAAAAAAAAAAAAGTCTATGCTTGGGCCCCACTCCAGATAGTCTAATTTAGATGACCTGGTGTAGGAGGGGTCATTTGTAAAAATCTCCAGATGAGTCTAATATACTGGTTGGGGAGAAGTTCCTGACTCTTGGGCCTTGTAAGCTGTAGGGCCTGGACTGGGCTCCCTGCCCACTTCACCTTAGCTCTGCATTTCAGAACAGAGGGATCTGAGGCCCTGAGTGGGATTGGGTAGGGAGTATTTACCTGGCAGCCTCCACTTTGGGGAGTCTCTGGGGAGAGAGAGATGCTGACTCTTAGACCCCAAAACTGGTAGCTTAAAATGGCAGTAAACATTTATTATGCTCACAGTTTCTGTAGGTTGGGAATTTGGGAGCAGTTTTGTTGGGTGGTTCTGGCTCGGGGTCTGTCATGAGGTGCAGTCACAGTGTCAGCCAGTGCTGCAGTCATCTGAATGGGTCAGGAGGATCTGCTTCCGAGATGGCGTGCTCACATGCTTGGCAGGACGGTTTGGCTGCTGACGGGAGGGCTCCATTCCTTGCCCTGTGGGCTTCCCCAGGGTGGCTTGAGTGTCCTCCCACATGGTGACTGGCTTTTCCCAGAGTAAACTGCCCAAGGGATCCAGGTGGAAGCCACAGTGTCTTTTATGTATAGTTTCAGAAGTAACATTCCAACATTTCTGCAATAGCCTGTTAGCTGCAGTGGTCAGCTTGGGAGAGAACTGCAGCAAGGCATGAATCCCAGGAGGCAGGGATCACTGAGGGGCATCTTAGAGGCTGGTGGCCACACAGATTGTCCTGGTGTTGCACCTGCAGCCTCACAATCCTAGCCTGGGAGCTCCAAGCACCCCTACCAAGTAGGATAGTGGCGTAACCCTTCTATCCCGATCCCCTGTCCTTCCCTTTGTCAGTCCACAAGTGTCTCCGTGGGGTAGGGTGGCTGTCTGAGGCCTGGTGGCCCTGCTGTGGAATCATTCTGCAGGGGGCTCTGTGACCTCTCTACTGGCTGGGCTTCCTTCATCCCCACCCCTGCCTGTCACTTGGCTCAGCCTTCCCTGCAGTGACTCCCACTGGTATGCAGTGTGGGGACTGTAGGGAAACATAAGCACTGTTGCTGCCACACAGCTGCCTCTGGGTTAAGCCCTCTGCATGCATTGTCACACACCCCTGTGTGGCAGCACACTTTATCCCCATTTTACTGATGAGAAAACTGAGGCTTAGATCACTCTCTAATAAGTTGTGGGGATTCAAATGACTGGTATTTAGCCCCCAGGACCTGTGTGAAAACTGGTACTATAAGGTGTTCCCAAAGGATAGGACTAAGTTGGATCATCAAATGAAACATAAGGAAATACGCTCTCATGATGTGTGTGTGTGTAAGAGAAGTGTCTCCTCCTGGGGTTTCTCAAGGGCTGTGGTGACTTGGGTGTCTCAAAACAGGGCTGAGGCCGGGCGGAGTGGCTCATGCCTATAATCCCAGCACTTTGGGAGGCTGAGGCAGGTGGATTTCCTGAGCTCAGGAGTTCGAGACCAGCCGGCCATCATAGTGAAACCTTGTCTCTGAAAAATACAAAAAATTATCTGGGTGTTGTGGCGGGCGCCTGTAATCCTGGCCACTCAGGAGGCTGAGGCAGGAGAATAGCTCGAACCCAGGAGGGGGAGGTTGCAGTGAGCCAAGATCACGCCACTGCACTTCAGCCTTGGAGACAGTGCAAGACTCCATTTCAAAACAAAAACAAAAACAGGGCTGATCCCTTGGTCTTGAGGATAGTATTCCCTCTCTCTTGGTTTCAGCTGTGTCAGGAGACTTTTTTTTCTTTTTTGAGATGGAGTTTTCCTCTTGTTGCCCAGACCAGAGAGCAATGGCACCATCTCAGCTCACCACAAGCTCTGCCTCCCGGGTTCAAGCGATTCTCCTGCTTCAGTCTCCTGAGTAGCTGGGATTACAGGCATGCACCAACAGGCCCAGCTAATTTTGAATTTTTAGTACGACGGAGTTTCTCCACGTTGGTCAGGCTGGTCTTGAACTCCCAACCTCAGGTGATCCGCCTGCCTCAGCCTCCCAAAGTGCTGGCATTACAGGTGTGAGCTACCGTGCCTGGCCTAGGAGATTTTTTTCTAAGGAAGCGAGCAGCTGTGAGCACCATCTCCTATTGGCCCTCCCCTGCCAGTTACCTGGTCTGCTGTCAGCAGTCTTGCACCAGCGTCATCACCAGGGCAGTGACTGGCTCTGTGGTCTTTTTTTTTTTAGACAAGGTCATCCTTCCGTAGCACAGTGGCACGATCATAGCTCATTGCAGCCTTAAACAGCTGGGCTCAGGTGATCCTTCAACCGCAGTCCTGGAGTAGCTGGGACCACAGGTGTGCACCACCATACCCTGGCTAACTTTAAAATTTTTATTTTGTAGAGGCAGGGTCTTGCTATGTTGCCCAGGCTGGTCTCAACCTCCTGACCCGCAAGCGATTCTCCCGCCTCAGCTTCCTAAAGCACTGGAATTACAGGCATGAACCACCATGCTAGGCCTGGTTTTTCTTACACCTTTGTCCTTGAGGACTTCCCGAAGGGGAATTCAGAGGTGGGGTGTCAGGTCCGGGTTAGGGTTAGGGTTAGGGTTAGGGTTAGGGTTAGGGGGAGGGAATTCACACTATTTAATGGCTCTCCTGAGAGCCATTAAATGGAGCTGCAGTAGACTTCGCTGGGGACACAGAAGGCTGGTGAATAGGTTCGGAAGTCAGGGCTGGCCTCTTTCAGGGTACTGGTGATTGTCCCCATTTGACAAATGGGGAAAATGAGGTTCAAGTGCTAAGAGACTCTCCCAAGGCCACACTGGTAGTGGCAGAGGCTGCTGCCTGGGCACTTTCATCTTCTCTAGGAGCGTCCTGGCGTGGCATAGTCCTCCTGGCGCAGATCTCTGATTGCTGAGAGGGAATGGAGCTTGCCTACCTCTGGAAGGTCTGGGACCTGAGGGGAAGAACGGAGGTTCTGCCTGCTGAGAGATGATTGTCTACCCAGAAGCCAGGGACATCTGCAGATAGACATACACAAGGATGGGAAGCAGGGCGTGGGTGTGAGAAGCCTGGAGGTGGAAGCTGGGCTGGTGGGGCTGGCCCAGAGCTTGGAAGGTTCATAGGTGTTCAGAGCAATTGTGCCCAGCACCTGATCTAATCTATTGTCACAGTGTGATCCATTCGCTAATTTTTGCTGAAGGTGGGACCTATAGGGTGGGGCTTGGGATAAAGCTGCAGGGGTGTGGCATGAGGGAGGGACTGTAGTATTAGGCTCTGTTCTGGCCCATCTTTACCTGTTTCTCTTGCTGACTGACAGTGTCATCAAGGCCCCCAGTGAGCTTTCCGCCCATCAGAAAGACCCTGCCCTTTCTCCGGCTTCCTTTTTTGAGACAAGGTCTTGCTTGGTCTCCCAGGCTAGAGTGCAGTGGTGTGATCATGGCTCACTGTAGCCTTGACTTCCTAGACTCAAGTGATCCTCCCACCTTGGCCTCCCAAAGTGCTGGGATTACAGGTGTGAGTCACTATGTCTGCCTAGCCTCTCTGGCTTCTTTCTGAGCTTTCTTCCCCTCCTCCACCCCCAATTAGGCTTCTAGTTGAGTAGTCTCCTGGGTCTGCCCCTACAGGGTACTATAAAATCACCTTATGCCTCCCAGACAAAAGGGTCTCGAAACAATGAATGTGGGTGGTGTGCAGGTATATCCCACCTCGCAGGGCACCAAGGGAAACAGAGACGGGCCCAGAGTGCTCACCTCTCCCGGGGATGGGCCTCCCACTCCGGGCTCCAGTGTCTTTGGGGGCCGGGTCTTTGGCTGTGTCCCTCCATGCACTGAGTCAGTGGCTGCCTCTCCTTTCAACACATGCCTGCCAAGGGCCCCTTCTTCTCACATGAAATTGGCTTACAAAGCCTTTTTAAAGTTGTGCTTTTAGGGACTTTATGATTTTGGGGAAGAAATGTGGGTAGCATTGACAGTGTGCTTGGAGAGAAGTGTGGGTGCCAGGCAGGGTGATGGGGCCCTTCCCTGTTTTTGGCCTGTGAGGGCCAGAGGACATTACTGGGGGTGGGGGCCCTGCTGAAACAGGCCCCCACAGCTTTTCCCTTTCATGAGCTTGGAGCTGGCTAATGGCCACCCCCCTGGTGCCCACTTCCCCTCAACACTGGGGAGGATGGCCAGGCTGAGTCAGGGTTGGGGGGCTCAGGCCGAGTCAGTATTGGGTTGGGGTCAGTCAGATACAGATGTGGTGTGCCTGCATGATGCCAAGGTTAAGGTCCAGTCTGCTATTAGGGTTGGGGCCAAGGTGAAGGCTGGGTTCTGAGCTCAGATGAAGATTGGGCTTCTTCTATAAGTGAGACAGAGCTCTGGGCCCTAGGAAAGGTGACTTCTGTCCTCATCTTTTTGGGGATCTTCTTCCCTCTCTTGCCTTTGTAGTGGCCACATCTTTTATCTGTGCTAATTTAATCTTCCTACAAGGCAGCTGTACCTATCCCTTTTGCAGATGGGAAAGCTTGAAGACCAAAGGAAGCCTTTAAATGTCAGATAGGGCCGAGACAAGCGTGCCCGGTGGTGGGGTACAGAGGCTGCATCCTTGGAGTGAGTTCAGAAGTCTTGGCTAAGTGGGGCCTGGAGAAGGGAAGACACTGGCCCAGTGGTCACCTGGTAAGGTAGAAATTGAGCTGGACCTGAACCCAGGTCTCTGGGCTCCAGGGCCTGTGTTTTCTCCCTCCCCTTCTGTCTCCTGGGCTCATGGGCTGCCCCTGCTCTGTTCCCCACACCTGCTCCCCCTTCTCTCTCCTTGTCGAGGCCCAGCCTGGCTCAGCGCAGTCCTTTTACTTCCTGGCTGGCCTGAGTGAGGAGGCTGGGGAGGGTCTGGCTGGGAGGAGTTGGGGCCCAGCCCCTCCCTGGTTGAGAGGTGGGAGGGGCCTCACCACAGACACAGAGCCCCTTTGTCTGGGCCGTTGTGCAAAGCAGCTGGTCTGGGATTTCTGGGCGTTTTTACATTTGAAGAATAATTGCATTGTCTGGGGGCCTCAAGAATCCAAATCCCTCCTCACACTTCCACGCAGTCCAAATTATGTGCCCCTGGAGCAGCTCCCCAGCCTCCCTCCCACTCCTTCTCCTGTAAGAAGCCTGAGAAAGAGGATGGGGGTGGTGGTGGTGGGGAAGGGGAGGAGGCCTCTGGGGAAACTGAGGTGGGGCTGCTGCCCCCAGGAAATAGAAGTATCCATTGGGAAGAGAGGTTTAAAGTCCCCAAGGTTGGTCGGGGAGGGTGCAAGTAAGCTGTCTCCTGCTGCCCAGGGCACCACAGCCCTGGGCTGGTCTCATGAGCAGATGTGGGGCTTGGAGGAGGGGGGAGACTGCTGGTAGAAGGGCTGGGTCTATTTTCAGGCACTTCAGCTGGTGGAGTCCTGGGCCCCAAGGGAGCCAGGGAGTGAGCCAGGTGAGCCAATTTCCTGGGGGCCTCACTTTTCTCTGGGAAACAGATTAGGAAATTCATCCTAGGGTGACCTTGAGAAAAAGACAAGGCTCAGGCACACTTGGGAATAGGCTGTGTTCAGAGGGAGCCAGAGATAAGTAGGAGTTTTCTCTCTCTCTCTCTTTTTTTGAGATGGAGTCTCGCTCTGTCACCCAGGCTGGAGTGCAGTGGTGCTATCTTGGCTCACTGCAGCCTCTACCTCCCAGATTCAAGAGATTCTCCTGGCTTAGCCTCCCGAGTGCTGGGATTACAGGCACCTGCCGCTACACCTGGCTAATTTTTGGATTTTCAGTAGAGACAGGGTTTCACCATGCTGGCCAGGCTGGTCTGGAACTCCTGACCTTGTGATCTGCCTGCGTCTGCCTCCCAAAGTGCTGGGATTATAGGTGTGAGCCACCTCGTCTGGCAGAACCACCTTCTCTGATGTGTATGAGAAAGGCTGTTTCCTGTGGGCCTTCAGGTGGGTGGGGCTGGGGAGGTTCCAGACTTTGGTGCAGCTGGTGGTCTATCTGTATGTTTTGGTGGGAGTTGTGAGTGAGAACTGAAGCTAGAAAGGGCAGCTGGGTCCAGAGGGCAAGGCTGACATGCAGAGATCTTCCCCAGGCCTGCTACATGGTAGGTGCTCAGTGAATTGCTAAATTATATTCCCTGGTCAGTGAGATGCTCAGCTGTTCTTGTCTTTGGAGAGTGGGGCTGGGAGATTGAGACCCACACAGGTGAGGCTCAGATAGAGGACACAGGGTGCGGGGTGCTCCTGGGGCAGCTGGGGGTGGAGGTGACAGTGATTCAGGCTGTGGGGTTGCCATGGCTTGACCCGATGAGTGAGGAGGGTCTCCCACTAAGGGTGCCTCGAAGTTTGAGCCTTGGGGCTGCTTGATGCTCCTGTGATTTGACCTCAATGGGGAAAGTGCCAGGAGTTAGGCAGTGCCCCCAGTTTAGTTCTGGGCATTTCCAGTTGGGGATTGGCAGGGTCAAACGTTGAAGACCAGGACTAACACGTGTCTCTAGTATTTGGCCATTAGGAGGTGCTTACTGGAGTGTAAATTTCTTTACTCTTTTTTTTTTTTGAGACAGGGTCTCACCCTGTGACCAGGCTGGAGCACAGCGGTCTGATCTCAGCTCACTGTAACTAGAGTGTAAATTTCTGAGGGTGTCAAAATGAAATTGGGGAGGATGTTCTGGGGATGGGACGAAGAAGTGGCAGTTCACACAAAGCTTGGTGGCTTTGCCTACTCTGGTCACCTGAATTCTGAGTCTTTATTCATCCATCTTTTGCGACCCTGCCACAGAACAGGGTTTTTCTTCCCTCTTTTTCTTTCTCTGTCCCCTGCTGCCTTCCTATGTCCAGTGTGGCTTCTTGGGACACTTCAGTCAGGGTGGTGGCGGCTCTGGGCAGCTGGGGGAGGTGGTGGCCTGCAGGCTGGAAAATTGGCTTCATCTTGGATGAAGTTGCCAGGGGACTGAGGGGTGCACTCATGCCCTGGCTGGCCTGATTTTTTGATGCTCCCAGGCATTGCCTGCTTGGGGACATGGGAGAATAAACCAGGCCCGCGCGGGTGCAGGCACTGGGCAAGAGGCTCACACCCCCACTTTGCCATGGAAGCAGGAGCAAGAAGGCAAGTGTCTGTTTCCCGCCCTCCTCCTCTTCCCTGCCTGGCTGAGCCAGCACTTTTTTCTTCTCTCCTTTATCTGCTCAAAAAGTACAGGGTGTTCTGTTTCTCCTGTGCATACAGATCAAGGAGCGGATGTTATTTCTTTCTTTCTTTCCCCAAGGAGGGAAGGACGGGCAGGCACTGAGGATCATTTAAGCGATTCTCCTTCCTCAGTAAGGCAGTTTCTTATACATTAAAACAACAACAACAACAACAACATCAGCAAATCCAAAAGGGAAAGGAAATGACACGAACCAACAGTAAACATGTTGCCCCTTACTGCCCCCACTCCCCACCAGGCCTTCAGCACACAGTAGGTGTCCTGGCAAAGTTCTCTCCCCCACTCCCCATCGGGTATTCAGCACACGGTAGGTGCCCTGGCGATGTTCTCTCTTCTCCCTTTCAGTTGGACCCCAGGGTGTGCTGGCCCCAAGAGATGATATGGGGGCCACAGGACAGACTGATTTCTCTGCCGTCTGTGGGCTGTGTAGGGTGCTTCTCTGGCTTCCTGGAGGCACGGGGGCGTTGAGGGGCTTATCTGAGACAGGGCCTGAGGAGAAACAGGACTGTGGATTAGCTGTGAGGGTCAGGGGTGCAGGGGACTCACATGGCCCCTGCTTACCTGTGTGACATTCCATATGCCACGTCTGTTTGAGTTCAAAGTCTCTGAGACCCCGTGCGGAGAGCCGGGGGTTCTTTCTGTGCTGATCTTGGAGGCAGAATGGCTGCCTGCATTCTAAAGACAGTCTGCTCATGATGTAGCTGAGGCGCTTGACCAATTATTTTCATGCACGAGGCTTGCTGGCACCAAGTGCCGTTCCCTTTCCTGGCTTCCCAAGGCTAGAGCTTATCTGGTCCCTTGGTTTTCAGAGGTGGTGGTCCAGGGAGACTGGGGTGAGGGGGACCTGCTATAGCAGCTTTTCAAGGAGGGGTTCCACCAGTAAGGTGTGAGAGCCGCTGCAGCCATCCTTCCCCGTAGTGGAGACTGTGTGTGGGGTGGCCTGGGGCAGGGGCGCGGCGCCACGTCAGTCCGGGGTGCCCGGGGCGGCGGCGTCCCGTCACAGCTGGCGCGGCTCCTCCGGAGCACGCCGCGTGTTTACCGACCTGACGCAGCGTCCCGGCCCGGCCCGGCTGGCAGACATCCGGCGGCATCACCGCTGACCTCCCTGCCCGCCCCATGCAGGCGGCCACATCCTCACCTCTAAATTAGATCCGCAGGAAGGAGAACCTGGGGCAGGGGCGAGGGAGGAGAGGGACGGGAGTCAGAGGACAGAGACAGGGAGGAGGAAAGGGCCGGCGCTGCCCTGCGCCAGGCGTGGCCTCATCCCCAGCGAAGCGCGACACGAGCTGTCTGGGAAGGGGAGCGGGAGCCCCTGCCTACGAAGTGGAGGCTGCCCGGCAAGGGGCTCTGGGCCTCGGGCGCCACCTCCTGGCCCTTTTGGGAACCGGTTCTGGGTGGAGTGGAGGGGCCTGGGTCTCAGGGGGCTTGGAGGGCATTTAGGGGCGGGAGAGGGAGGGAGGATTCCCGTCTAGGCCCAGGCATCGTGGGGCAGGTGGAACGGGCGAGGGAGGCACAAAGAGCAGCTTCTCAGCCTAAGCGTATTTCAAAAAAAAGCTTCCTTTGCTTACCTATGTCATTTAAGTGATGTTGGCCAGGCGCGGTGCCAGACGCCTGCAATCCCAGCACTTTGGGAGGCCAAGGCGGGTGGAACTTGAGGTCAGGAGTTCAAGACCAGCCTGGCCAAGATGTTGAAACCCTGTCTCTACTAAAAATACAAAAATTAGCTGGGCCTGGTGGCAGGCGCCTGTAATGCCAGCTACTCAGGAGGCTGAGGCAGGAGAATCGCTTGAACCCAGGAGGCAGAGGTTGCAGTGAGCCGAGATCGCACCACTGCCCTACAGCCTGGGTGACAGAGTGAGACTCCATCTCAAAAAAAAAAAAGGATGTTAAGGACACTGCTGTTCCAAGAGGGACGAAAACCTCAATGGTCAGACCCTGAAATGCATGGAGAAGAAAGTTAGTGTGGCAGCCTTTGATGGATTGATTGGAAGGCAGGAATGACTGTCTTGTTAGTAAGATCTATGTAGATACATAGAGTATATTACACATATTTTAAATGTGCAATTCAGTGAATCTTCATATGTGCACTGGGTACCTTCCCTTTGGATTAACATATTTATTCCCTCCACTTCAGAAAGGCCCCTCCTTCCCCCTTCTGTCATCTCCCTGCCTCATAACCTTTCTTCTGACCTCTGGGTTCACAGCTTGGGTTTGCTACTTCTTGACCTTCATGTAAATGGAGTCATATGGTCTGTGCCCTTTTCTCTCTGGCTTCTTTTGCTCAGTGTATGACTGAGGTGCCTCTGTGTTGTTGGGAATATCAGTAGTGGGGTTCTATTTATTGCTGAAGAATAGTCCATGGTATGAATATCTACCTACAGCACCATATATGTGTCTGTTCTCCTGCTGATGGACCTGTGTGGGGTGTTTTAATTTTCAGGATGTTAGAAATATAACTGCTGTACACACTCTGAAGCATGTGTCTTTGGTGGAATATGCCCTCTTTCTGTTGGGTGTATTTTTTTTGTTTTTGAGATGGAGTCATGCTCTGTCGCCCGGGCCGGAGTGCAGTGGTGCGATCTTGGCTCACTGCAACCTCCATGTCCCGGGTTCAAGCAATTCTCCTGCCTCAATCTCCTGAGTAGCTAGGACTACAGGCACATGCCACCACCCTCAGCTAATTTTTTGCATTTTTAACAGAGACGGGTTTTCACTATGTTGGTCAGGCTGATCTCGAACTCCTGACCTCGTGATCCGCCTTCCTCGGTCTCCCAAAGTGCTGAGATTACAGGTGTGAGCCACTGCACCCGGCCGGTGTATTCTTAAGAATGGGATTGCTATGTCAAGAGAACAGTTATGTGCAGCTTTATTAGGTATGGGCGACAGTGCCCCTTGTCTGATGTCCAGTAGCCACCTTCCACTCACATTTATTCCTTGTTAGGTCCTGGATACTATTAGATTCTGCAAATTGTGCCACTTAAACCTCAGCAAAGACAACTGGAATCTAAATTGCTTGAATCAGGGAAGGAACAGGGACAGCATTTGAGCTGAGTGGTTCCTCAGGGTGGCCCCCAGATACCTCCAAACACTCCTGGTCATTCTGGGAAAAGAAACGCAGTCTTTCCTATCCCTGGGGCCAGATTCAGGGACCCCTTTGGTCTCCCAGCCATCAGCTCCCCTAGTCTGGCATCTCTGAGCAAACTGGCTTAGTGTAACTGTCAATTTCATGTCTGGCCTCTGGTGCCATGGGTCCTCTTGGTCCACTGTTTCCTGGGCTCCTTGCTGCTTTGTGGTGGCTGAGGGACTGGGTGGCTGGGAAAACAACCTACCCGGAATAGTAGGCTTGTTGGATGCAGGCCTCGTGGCACTTTCTCGGGGGAGGGCGGGACTATGTCCTGCCCACCAAATTGCCACTTCATTGAGGCTGTGAAAGACCAACAGAAAGCCAGAGACAATAGAAGGGGCAAGGGAAAGAGAGAGAGCGCACCAGGGAAGAGCCAGGCAAAGGAGGGAGAGCAGAGGATCCAGACCTGAGTGTGCAAGTATCCTGGCGCCTGTGTGAGTATCCTGGGGTCTGTATGAATATCTTGGGATCCATGCAAGTATCTTGGGGGTCCAGGCAAGTATCTTTGGGGCCCAGGCAAGTATCCTGGGTTCTGTGTGAGTATCCTGGGGAGTCTGTGTGAGTATCTTGGGGTCCAGGCAAGTATCTCAGGGTCTGTGTGAGCATCCTGGCATTGGCACCAGGTGGACCACAGCAGCCGTGCCATGCTGAGCTGGTCCAGAATCAGCAGCTCCAAGCCTCAGTCTCTCCTGAGTATGCCTATCTCCTCACTTGCCGCCTCTCATCTCCACTTTGGGGCCTGTCAAGGGAAGAGGCAGTGCCTAACAAGTTTAGGGGTGGAATTGAGAATTTCAGGGGCATAAGATGGGCTCCCAGGTCTCCTGCCTACTGCTGGGGACCCAAAATGCATCCCTCCCTTACTTTCTCCTTCTCTCCCTTTCTTCCTTTTTTCCTCCCTTCCTCTCACCTTCCCTTATTTCTTCTTCTCTCCCTCCCTGCCCCTTTGGAGGTAGCTTTTCTTGTTCAGGTCCTCAGAGAGAGAGGGAGAGACTCCAGTTCCCTCTGCAACAGAGGGCAGAGTGTGATAGGAGCCCTGAGTGTCCCTTGGGGCAGATGGGAAGTGAAGGCAGAGCCTGTAAGCTGTGACTCGCCCGCCCCCTGCAGGTTCCTAGAAGGTGAGTGCGGACGGTATGCAAAGTTGTGAATCCAGTGGCGACAGTGCGGATGACCCTCTCAGTCGTGGCCTGCGGAGAAGGGGACAGCCTCGTGTGGTGGTGATCGGCGCCGGCTTGGCTGGCCTGGCTGCAGCCAAAGCACTTCTTGAGCAGGGCTTCACGGATGTCACTGTGCTCGAGGCTTCCAGCCACATCGGAGGCCGCGTGCAGAGTGTGAAACTTGGTAAGTGCCACCTAGTCCAGCCCAGCCACCTCCCCAGGTCACCTGTAGTCCCCTAACTCCCAGCTCTTCCTGAAATCTCATTATTTTAGCTCCTGGGATAAATGTTCCATCATGCATCCTGCCTGGGTGTTTTCCAGACGCTTCCTTTGCTCCTCCAGGCAGCCCTCTGAGGCGGGCATGGTGGGGCCCTGACTTCCATTTTTGGAGAAAGCTGGCTTGCCTCTGACCTAGGGTTCACAGTGTTTGGGAGGGAGTGGACACCCAAGCCGCCTTGGTACTGAGTGGGCCAGTTTCTGTTTCACAAGAAGTGAAATTCTCCTGCAAGGTCCTCATAGTCATTAACTTTTGATTGTGAATTAGTATATCGTGACTGAGAGCTAGCCCTGGAGAAGTAGGATCCTGGGTTAGCAGAGGTGAAAGGGGATTTGAGGCCTCCTTATGGCTGATGAGCAGGTCTTGGGATTATCTGGGAAGTGGATATGTCCAGGTTGCAGAGCAATGAGGACCCTAGAGAAAGCAGCCAGGTAAGAAACTTGTCCTAGGGGTGGGCACATTTTACCAGGGGTCTCAGAGAATGGGGAAACTGCCTGAAATTCCCCTGTCAGGGCTTCCCATCAGGGGAGGGGAGTCTGACCAATGAGGGGTTGAGTGGGTAGAAACCATGAAAATGACCCAGTGAGACCACACCTGTCCTGCAGTGTGTGGCTACATTGATCCTCTAGAGTATTTTTATTTTTTTTTTGAGACAGATTCTCACACTTGCTCAGGCTGGAGTGCAGTGGTGCTATCTTGGCTCACTGCAACCTCCGCTTCCTGGGTTCAAGTGATTCTCCTGCCTCAGCCTCCCGAGTGGCTGGGACTACAGGTGTGTACCACCATGCCCAGTTTTTGTATTTTTAGTTGAGGCAGGGTTTCACCATGTTGGCCAGGCTGGTCTCGAACTTCTTACCTCAGGTGATCCACCTGCCTCAGCCTCCCAAAGTGCTGGGATTACAGACGTGAGCCACTGCGCCCAGCTCCTCTAGAGGATTTTGTGTCTGTGTTTTTTTTGTGTCTAGTATATTCCCAAGGCCAGGCAGAGATGGTGCAGCTGCTTGCTTAGAGAAGTAGGTCACAGGCTTAGAATCTCAGAGGTTGGGGACATGTGGGGGCCTTCTCTCTTGCAGAAACCTTGATCACATTAAGTGTCCTCCCCTACAGCATTTCCCGCAAGGCATAACTAAAGTTGTCCCTTTTCCCTTGGCACACACAAGAGTGTCTGCTGGCAACGAGGGTGAAAGTGCCATCCAAAGCTGCCCTTGTAAACCTGGGACAGCCGGCGGGAAAGCCCAGGGACTCTATTGCTCATCTCCTGATTCGCTGGCTAGAAGCCTTAGGGAAGGGTGGGCTCTGTTTGTGATTCTCCAGTCTTGATGAGACAGTCAGGGTCTGGCACAGAAACGGAAGACAGGAAGACAAATGGCCCAGTATCAGTAGTAGCTGATGGCCGGGACGTGCCATGCTGGAGAATGTTGGTACAAGGTGGCGAGGTGGGAGAGACGGTGCTGCAGGAGGTGGAGAGGAGCCATGATTGATCAACTGATCGATTAGTCGATTTGGTGGGAAGGCTTCCTAGAGGCAGGGAGCGTGGGCCTCAGTGGTGGTAGGAGTTGGGCATGTAGTGAGAAGGAAGAAGGAGTAATGTGCATGGAAGGATGTATATGGGGGCAACCGAGGCAGCACCCTGCCAGGAGAAGGGAGAACACATCAGGGAAAGGGTGTGCATGAGTGTGTCATGTGTGTGCAGTCACACAGGACTGGAAGCCCAGCTATAGCTGGACCTGCAGCATAGGGAAATGGTAGCTATGACTTTGTCAAGGTGAGAGCAGGGGTCGAGGCCAGGGGCTCCTGGGACGGTATGGGTAGGCATGCAGACAGTGTCTGGTGCCCTTTGGATGTAGCAAGGTGTGGCAGGGATGGCAAGGGGTATGGCAAGGATGATAGAGATGGAGGTGCATGTGGGAGAGGGCAGGAAGCTTTCTCAGGCGGGGGTCTGCTCTGGGCCTCTACCTCCTTACAGAGCCCGGGGAGAGAGTGGGCATTGACCTTGCTCCTGATCTTGAACACTCACCTAAATCCTGCTTTTGCTGAATATCTGGAGGCAGAAAAGGTGCCCCATGTCTGGGCTGCCCCATGGTTCTATGACCTGGAGCTCCCTGCTGTGTCCTGGGAAAGGTTCAGATTCCTTCCCAGAGTACTGGTCCCTTCTGCTCCTCTTGGGAGCTCAAACCAGGCAAGACACTTCAGGGAGCTCCAATCCTGAGGTTGTAACAGAGGGGTAGCAATTAAATGCCCTTGATGTCCACCAGAGATCCACTGCCAATAGGACAATGGCTTTTCCGCTTTTGGTGTCCTCCAGTTTGCCCATGATAGCCCTACCTATGTGTCTGGTGGTGGGCACAGGCTTCTGTCTCGGCCTCATGCCTCAGCAGGAGAAGCCTCGGTTTCTTTCCATGGTTGTCACATCCTTGGAGGGCGAGGATGGAAGCCATGAGGCCCCTTGAGGCTGAGGCTCTGAATCCACAAACCTCACTCTCACTACATTCTGTTAACCAAAGCAAGTCACAAGTCCAGCTCAGATCCAAAAACTGGGGAAACGGACTCCACCTTCTCATGGGAGGAATGACAGTCACGTTGCAAAGGGGTGTGTGTACAAAGGTAGGAGGAATCACTGTGACTATCTTGGCAAAAAATGTACCACATGTATTGAAGCAGGCCTGCAAAAACAGCAAAACACCCTCCAAAAAGTTTCTATCTCTTTTCCTTTCACTGTTTCAACTTCCCTGGGAGCTAGGTAGGGATGGAGACGAATGGGAGAAGGAGACAGCTTCTGCAGCATCGGAAGAGGAAACTGAGGCCCAGGCAGGGAGGCGACTTGGCTCAGGGTACCTGGGACCTTGGCTGTGGACGAGGTAGTAGACCTAGTTCCACGGCCATCCCAACTGGGACCCAGGAGATGTTCCCTGCTCCAGTCAGGCTCTCAGGGTTTTTTGTAGTGTGCCAAAGGATGTAGAGGGCTTCACTTTTTTTTTCTTTTTTGAGATGGAGTTTGCTTTTGTTGCCCAGGCTGGAGTGCAATGGCATCGTCTTGGCTCACTGCAACCTCCACCTCCCAGGTTCAAGCGATTCTCCTTCCTCAGCCTTCCAAGTAGCTGGGATTACAGGCATGCGTTACCATGCCCGGCTAATTTTTATATTCTAGTAGAGACGGGGTTTCTTCATGTTGGTCAGGCTGGTTTCAAATTCCACCATGCCTGGCTAATTTTTGTATTTTGGTAGAGGCGGGGTTTCTCTCCTCTGGTAGAGGCTGGTCTCGAACTCCTCACCTCGGGTGATCTGCCCACCTTGGCCTCCCAAAGTGCTGGGATTACAGGCATGAGCCACCGCACCTGGCTGCTTCACTTTCCCTGGAAGTGTGCTTTAGGTTGCTTTATGGAGGAATCTTGCAAACTGGTATGTTTGGCCTTCTCTTCTGCCCTATGCTGAGTTGGGAGGGGACCATTTTCTTTCTGGGAAATGCTTTAGACCGTGGAGCCACTGGGGATGTTGAAGAATTGAAAAAAGGCCAGGTGGAGACCCTCAGGGGTCCACAGTGCTTCTCCCGGCTCTCGGGAGGTACTAGTGAAGAAGTGGGGTGTGGTATCTGGTGTTATCTTAGAAAATGGTGGGGCTGAAAAAGAAGAGCCTTCTAACTGGTCCAGTAAGGTGACTCTGGGACAAATCACAGAGTCATCCAAGGTGGCAGTTATCTTAGCTGTAAGGTGATTTTCAATGGAAACTTTTCACTGAGGACGTTCGTTGGTTGCCAGCAGTGGGGGTTCAAGCTCCTTCCTGCCCTGTTGTAGCAGTGGAAAGAGCCTCTTGGAGGAAGGAGGGGGAAGCAGTGCTGGCCCTCTCTGGAGAAGTCCCTAAGCCTCTAAGGGCCTGTTGTTGTTACCCTCAGGACACGCCACCTTTGAGCTGGGAGCCACCTGGATCCATGGCTCCCATGGGAACCCTATCTATCATCTAGCAGAAGCCAATGGCCTCCTGGAAGAGACAACTGATGGGGAGCGCAGTGTGGGCCGCATCAGCCTCTACTCCAAGAATGGCGTGGCCTGCTACCTTACCAACCACGGCCACAGGATCCCCAAGGACGTGGTTGAGGAATTCAGCGATTTATACAACGAGGTGAGGTGTGAGCAGAGCAGCTGGTCCTGAGGGCGTGGGGAGCCCTGGGAGGTCTTCTGTGATCCTTGTCATGTCTCTGCACACTCCCTGGACCCTGCATTTGGAAAACCAGAATGATGTGAGGATAAAATGAAGATGTTGAGTGGGAAAGTACTAGGCAAGCGATTATTGATACGTGTGATTAAATATATCTTTAAAAAGGCCTTAAACATCTTTTGTGAGATTTATTACTAGGTATGTGGGGGTGGTGGTGATGGTTGTTACTTTTAGATACTCTTATAAGTGGTAGTTTGTTTTGTTTTTTATTTGAGACGGAGTCTTGCTCTGTCACCCAGCTGGAGTGCAGTGGCATGATCTTGGCTCACTGCAACCTCCACCTTCCAGGTTCAAGTGATTCTCCTGCCTCAGCCTCCTGAGTAGCTAGGATTACAGGCACGTGCCACCACGCCTGGCTAATTTTTATATTTTTAGTAGAGACGGGGTTTCGCCACGTTGGTCAGGCGGGTCTCAAACTCCTGACCCCATCATCTACCCACCTCAGCCTCCCAAAGTGCTAGGATTACAGGCCTGAGCTACTGAGCCTGACCTAATTATTTTTAATTCTAATAATATATATATTTTGTTAATTATATTAATTTATATTCTAATAATATTTTGGAATTTATATATATAACTCTACACAAAAAATGAGAATTTTGGCTTTTTCTCTCTAATCCTTAGACCAGCCTTTGCCCAGTAGGACTTTCCACAGTGCTGATGATGTGTTAGACCTGCACTACGCAGCAGGGTTGTCACTGGCCACGTCTGGCTCTTGAGCACTTGAAGTGATGCAAGTAAAACTGAGGAACTGAATATTTAATTTTTTTATTGAGATGGAGTCTTGCTCTGTCGCTTAGGCTGGAGTGCAGTGGCACGATCTCGGTTCATTCTCCCCGCAACCTGCATCTCCCAGGTCCAAGTGATTCTCCTGCCTCAGCCTCCTGAGTAGCTGGGATTACTTACAGGCGAGAACCAGCACGCCCAGCTAATTTTTGTATTTGTAGTAGAAACGGGGTTTCAGCATCTTAGGCTGGTGTCGAACTCCTGACCTTGTGATCTGCCTGCCTCACTCTCCAAAAGTGCTGGGATTACAGGTGTGAGCCACTGCACCTGGCCTAATTTAATAATTTTAAATTGCTACAGGTGTCTAGTAGCTACTGCATTGGATAGCACAGCTGTAGACAGGTTTTTTTTCTTGCCTTATTTCACTGGTTAGTATCTCAGTGCAGCATTGGATAGAAGTGGCAGTGGCACATATCCTTGTTTTATTCAGATTAAAAAAATTATTAATATCATTAATATTCTTTAGCTGTGTGAACTGCACTGAAGAAGCAAGGTAATGTGTAGGCCCTGTCATCTGGTAGCTTGTTATTTATGGTGTAATGATCCTTCACTCCCGGTCAGTAATTTGGCCAACAAGCACCTATTGTGCATTTTCTAATCTCTTGGGCATAAGAAAGGAGAAATGACCCTTGCTTTGGGTAGTCCCTGCTCTATGGAGGACAGGAACACTCAGTGTCTTGTGTGTGTGCACCAACAAGGTACGTTGTGTGCAGTCCACTGTATTGTGTGTTATCATGAGCAAAGAGACTGAATTGTTAATGGTCAGATAAGAACTAGTATTCTTCAAAGTAGACCTTTCTGGTCTGCTGGAAATCAGCCCCAGCCTGATTCCCAGGTTATTGTGAGTGATTCAAACATGATGCCTTTTGAAAATGACTTTCAGGGCCCATGGTTTGTTCTTTTAAATGTTTTTAAAAGTAGATCATCATCAAATTCAGCTGGTGGGTTTTATTTTTGAAAATCAAGAGTGTGCATTGTTAATAATGGGGTGGATATGGTGGATTATCCATCTGGATTGTGGTGTTTTGAGTTAAAAGGATAAGGTGTGGCCGGGAGTGGTGGCTCACGCCTGTAATCCCAGCACTTTGGGAGGCCGAGGGGGTTGGATCACGAGGTCAAGAGATTGAGACCATCCTGGTCAACATGGTGAAACCCCGTCTCTACTAAAAATACAAAAATTAGCTGGGCATGGTGGTGCGTGCCTGTAATCCCAGCTACTCAGGAGGCTGAGGAAGGAGAATTGCCTGAACCCAGGAGGTGGAGGTTGCAGTGAGCCGAGATCACGCCATTGCACTCCAGCCTGGGTAACAAGAGTGAAACTCCGTCTCAAAAAAAAAAAAAGGATAAGGTGTAACCATGATGTCAAGATTTCTTTGCGTGGCTTTTAACCAATTCTGGAGGCCATTCTGAAGAGGTGCACTCTAAGCATGTGAAGCCTCAGCAAGGCTTTGTAATAAATATGCAGCCCCCAAAGATGATGACTTTGAAGAGCCATTCATTTGAATATATTTTATTTATTAACAAATAAATGAGTTTGTGCAGTGGTATCATCTAGAGCTTAGTTTCTGGAGTAAGACTGCCTTGATTAAATGCCAGTTCTACCATGTATTAGCTGTGCAATCTTGAGCAGGTTATCGAGCCTCTCTGAGCCCTACTTTCCTCTTCTGTAAAATGGGCATGGTGGTACCTACCTCATAGTATTATGAGGATTGAATGAGATCCCAATGGTAAGTGCTTAATGAGAATTGGGGTATGATTAGCTGTCACAGACAGGTCCCATTTTCCTCGGGCACACCGGGAAGGTGTCAGATAACCCAGGAGAGGAGACTGTGCCATATGACACAGCCATGTTCAGTGAAGGCTGCCCTAGTGGGTGGCTGATACAAAGAGTCACATAGATGGACTAAATGTGTTACTCCTCAGCTGGGCATTTTGGCCTGTAGTTAACATAAACTGAGGATTGGCTACCATGTTGCTTATCGCCCAAGGGAAAAACCCAGGGAGGCGGAGGCAAATTGAAAGCTGACTCTTGGCAGTGAAGAATTCCTGGGTAAAGAATTTGCTGAGGACTCTAGCTAAGGCTAACCACTGGGCATCTTGTGATTGCAGGGAGGCAAGACAAAACAATTTCCTTCACTCTTCTTTATAATTTAGTCTCCAGAGAGAAGTTTAATTCATGTTTGTGTCTCAGGTGGAGGCCTTCCCCTTGAGTGAGGTGGTGGTGGTGGCGGGTGGCGGACATCACTGAGCTTTGCCATCTTCCTTTGCCCTTTGGTCCCAGGGCCTAGCCCAGGGTGGGGGGACAGGACAGACACCATTCCCAGGCATGTGTGCTGACCATGCTCACTTTAGGAAGGGAAACAAAGCATTCATCAGCTCAGCCACAGAGGCCCAGCCAAGGAGCCTCCATAAGCCAGTGTCCTGGGCATGACAGCTGTGGGCATGTGATTCTGCTGCCTTCCTGCTCACAGCCCCTCAGTGGTGCCAGGGCCATGGATCAAGTCCAGAGTCCTTGGAATAACTCTCAGTCCTTTATGCCCTGGCCCCTGCCTGCCTTTCCAAAGTCGGCTCTCAGATCTTCCTCTCTCCTTGTTGCCCCCTCCAGCAAAACCAAACCCCGTCAGGATTCCTGGCTGCATCTCCATCTTTGAGGTTGCTGTTCCCTCTGCCTGAAATACTTTTCTTCCCCCTCCTCCCTCCAGCCTGGCTGTCTCCCAGCTGCCCAGGGTTATCTGCGTTGACCTCACAGCCCTTGGGTACTTTCCTATCACGGCAGCCCAATCGTAGACTGTCTCCCTAGCTGGAGTGATGGCAGGGACAGGGACTGTTTTGCCCACATTACAAGCTGTGTCCTGCACAGAGCCTGGTAAATGTTGAGTAAATGTTGCTTCTGGGGGGTCCCAGGACTGCCCTGGACTGGCTTACTTCCTTCAGGGAGCCCTGCCTGATGCTTAGTGTCTGTATATGACGCAGACATTGGGGGGTGGGGGGGTAGTCAGACCCCGTTTCAAGGGACTGGTCATCATTATCTGTTGATGAGGTGTGGGCTGGAGTTCTTGCTGAAACGTCCCTGTGAAATGCAGCTCCATTCCTTGGCACACTGGGGCCTCCTGAGACCATGGGTTTTGTGTTCCTGTCTTCCCTCTGCTTCCCGACTTCCTAACTCGTGGCTGAGGCCTGAAGCAAAGGGGATGCTTTGTACAGACCTGACAGGCCCAGCGGGTTGTCTTCAGCAGAAGGTCCCCTTCTGGCCAGGCCAGAGCTCCAGACTGCCCTCTTGGGAGCAGGCAAAGCAGACCTGCTTGGGCAGGGGTGGTAGGGAAAGTACACCTACGGTTCTTGGAACAGGTAAATGTGTGCAAATGCCCATCTTCCAGTGGGAGGCAGAGCCCATGGAGTCCCATGCAGAGTCCATGAGGGGTGGCTTCTTTCCCACAGACTGTATGGGCACCAAATGTTTCACTCTGCCCTAAGCGAGGGCCCAGCAAGAGAGCCTCTGGGGCCCATCCCACCTCCCCAACAGGCCGGAGGCAAGGAGGTGGCCGCCCAGGGCCTTGGCTGTTGGTGCAGTCCTGGTGCAGCATTGAGTGCAACATTGGTTCCCTAAGGGACAGAGACCAGGGGCTCAGTGCATCCAGGGGACACCTGGGAACTGGAGGCTTTTGAGTTGGGGCTCTTCTGTTTGAGATGGAGGTGTGATGAGGTGTTTTCAGTCTCATGGGGTCTCTCTGGCAGGTCTATAACTTGACCCAGGAGTTCTTCCGGCATGATAAACCAGTCAATGCTGAAAGTCAAAATAGTGTGGGAGTGTTCACCCGAGAGGAGGTGCGCAACCGCATCAGGGATGACCCTGATGACCCAGAGGCCACCAAGCGCCTGAAGCTCGCCATGATCCAGCAGTACCTGAAGGTATCTTGAGGAAGACGGATTTTGGGGGCGTCTGGGTCTGAGGAGGGCTGCGCTGCTCCTACCCCTGCCCAACTCTGGCGGTCACCTGGCTTCTCCCTGGGTCTTCCCGCAGGTGGAGAGCTGTGAGAGCAGCTCACACAGCATGGACGAGGTGTCCCTGAGCGCCTTCGGGGAGTGGACCGAGATCCCCGGTGCTCACCACATCATCCCCTCTGGCTTCATGCGGATTGTGGAGCTGCTGGCGGAGGGCATCCCCGCCCACGTCATCCAGCTAGGGAAACCAGTCCGCTGTGTTCACTGGGACCAGGCCTCGGCCCGCCCCAGGGGCCCTGAGATTGAGCCCCGGGGTGAGGGTGACCACAATCAGGACACCGGGGAGGGTGGCCAGGCCGGAGAGGAGCCCCCGGGGAGCAGGTGGGATGAGGAAGAGCAGTGGCCGGTGGTGGTGGAGTGCGAGGACTGCGAGCTGATCCCAGCGGACCACGTGATTGTGACTGTGTCGCTGGGCGTGCTGAAGAGGCAGTACACCAGCTTCTTCCGGCCAGGCCTGCCCACAGAGAAGGTGGCTGCCATCCACCGCCTGGGCATTGGCACCACTGACAAGATCTTTCTGGAATTCGAGGAGCCCTTCTGGGGCCCCGAGTGCAATAGCTTACAGTTTGTGTGGGAGGATGAGGCAGAGAGCCGCACCCTCACCTACCCACCCGAGCTCTGGTACCGCAAGATCTGCGGTTTCGATGTCCTCTACCCGCCTGAGCGCTACGGCCACGTGCTGAGTGGCTGGATCTGCGGGGAGGAGGCCCTCGTCATGGAGAAGTGTGATGACGAGGCAGTGGCCGAGATCTGCACAGAGATGCTGCGTCAGTTCACAGGTGTGCGTGCCCCGTGGCCCACTCCCCCCGCCCCGCCTTCCTCACCCGCCCTCCTCTGCTGGACCTGTGGCAGCTTTCTCCTCCCCAGACTGTGAAGCTCAGATGCTGTGCCTGCTGGGAGAGGGGCGCCACACCCGGCCTAAGACTCCTCAATTGCTGACAGTTTGGAGCTTGAAACACTCAGAATGCTGGGCACTGTGTTTCTTCCCTCTTTCTAAGGGCTGATGGTAAAACACTCAGACATCACCGCCCATTGTGCTATGTTGCTAAGAGCTGGATTTGCATTTTACTTTGAGTCTCTCAGCTGAACATTTTTCACCCACTCTTCCGGGAGGGCCTCACAAGAACCCCTGAAATTAGCCGGGGAAGCATGATTATCTGTCATGTGTTTTCAGATAGATAGGAAAAGTGAGGTGGAGTGTTTTGCCGGAGGTCACAGGAGGTGCTGAGTGGGTACACAGCTCGGATCCCAGCCTCTCTCTTTCCTCCTCTATCCTCTCTGTCTACCCCTGGCAATCTGGTCCTCCCGGAGCCCTGGAGGTGGGGTGGGGTTGTCCATTTGGGGTCATCTTCTGTACACAGCCATTTCTTATCCTCCCTCCCCTTGGCTTTTCTGACTCTCCATCAGGAAACCCCAACATCCCCAAACCGCGGCGAATTCTGCGCTCGGCCTGGGGCAGCAACCCCTACTTCCGCGGCTCCTATTCATACACGCAGGTGGGCTCCAGCGGGGCGGACGTGGAGAAGCTGGCTAAGCCCCTGCCGTATACGGAGAGCTCAAAGACGGCGGTAAGCGGGGGTGTGTGCGTAAGGAGGGGTGTTGTGGGTGTATTTTGTATGTGTGTCTGGTCCAGGGTGAGGAGGGCCAGGGCACTGTTCACTAAAGGGTGCTCAGGTGAGGCTGGGATGGAGTAGCTTCTGTAATGAGAGAACACAAGGAGAAAGCGCACTTAATATCTGGAAGAAGAAATGGAATCAAATTGAAGCTTAAAATGTTTTCTCGATGTTAGGAAAACTGAGCCTTTCTGTGCTGTGTTGGCCAATATGGTAGCTGTCAGCCACTTTCAGTTTAAATTAATTAATTACAAATTTAAATGAATATAGTATTTTCTTCTTTTTTTGAGACAGGGTCCTGCTCTGTTTACACTTCAGGCTGGGGTGTGGTGGTGCAATCACACTCACTGCAGTCTTCACCTCCCGGGTTCAAGTGATCCTCCCAGCTCAGCCTCCCAAGTAGCTGGGACCACAGGCACGCCATCACGCTCAGCTAATTTTTGTATTTTTGGGGGTAGAGATGGGGTTTCATCATATTGCTAGGCTGGTCTTGAACTCCTGGGCTCAAGTTATCCTCCCATCTCAACTTCCTAAAGTGCTGGGATTGTAGGAATGAGCCACCACCCCTGGGCAATGTAGTGAAGTTTTTGTTCCTTGGTTGCACTAGTCACATTTCAAGTTGAGTAGCCACATGTAGCTAGAGGCTACCATAGCAGATTATATAGTGATAGAATGTTTCCAGCATCATGGAATGTCTTACTGGACAGCACCAATTCAATGGAAATGTTTTCCCAATATATTTTAGAAAATAAAGTTTAGAATACTGGCAGCCATTATGGCAAATGTCCACTAAAAAGAATAGTAAATCTGAAATATATACTTTTGCGGCCATAAAGTGAATTTTGAGTTTCCTCCACCAAGTAGACACACCCAATAAATGTTAAAACTCAACAGAATTATATTTGAAACAATTATTTGGTATGATTGGTAAAGAAGAGTTCAGTCAACCAGAGTCTACTGTGCCTGCCCAGCTGTGCTCAGGGGGAGAGAGGAAAGGGCTGGTGTTTAAAGAGACAAAGTCCTGAGGAAAGGTCCTTTCTGCTACCACAGCCATCCTCCTAAAAAGCACATCTTCTCTTTTCACCTGCATCAGGTAGGACTAGTGCATGTAACAAAAAGCAAAGCCAAGCCAACACAACTGTGGCTTAAACAAGGAAAATCAAAAGGAAATCTGGAGGCCAGGATCCTATATCATCAGCACCTGGCTCCCATCTTCAAGGCCACCTGTGGTCCAAGAGGGCTGCAGAAGCTCTGCTCTCACATCTGCATCTTAGGCTAGAAGGAGGAGGAAAGGCAAATGGCAAGAGGGAAACCCTTTGAGTTGAGTCAGCAGTGTCTCTAAGCAACAGTGGACTCTAAAGCTCATTGGCCAGAACATAGTCACATGACTGCACCCAGCCGCTAGAGAGGCTGGGCAATGGAATTTTTATTCTGGATGGCAATGGACCCAGTTAAAAATCAGGACTTTGTTATTGAGGAGAAAGAGGAGAATGGGTGGATGTGGGAGTAGGCAGCTTGCACCCTGACACAGTATACAGCACCCCTCTGGGTGTAACAGCCTCTGTGGGCTCCTTGGTGGAATACAGCCTCACTACTCAGGGTAGGTAGACCAAAAAGTACCAGCCTCACCTGGCAGCTAGTTAGAAGTGCAGACCCTCAGCCTGGCCAACATGGCAAACCCTGTATCTACTAAAAATACAAAATCATCTGGGTGTGGTGGCGCACACCTGTAGTCCCAGCTACTCTGGAGGCTGAGGCATGAGAATTGCTTGAACCTGGGAGGCGGAGATTGCAGTGAGCTGCGATCACGCCACTGCACACCAGCCTGGGCGACAAAGTGAGACCCTGTCTCAAAACAAAAAACAACAACCACCCCACCCCCACTGGCAAATGCACAGACACACACACACAAATAAATAAATAAAAATAAATGCAGACTCTCAGCCCACTTCAGACCTGCTGGATTAAAAACTGCATTCTGGCCAGAGATGCTTGCTCCTCCCTGTAATCCCAGCACTTTGGGAGGCCCAAGTGGGAGGATGGCTTGAGCTCAGGCATTCAAGAACAGCTTGGGCAACAAAGCAAGACCCCCATCTCTACAAAAAAATTAAAAAGAAAAAATTAGCCAGGTGTGGTGGTGTGTGCCTGTAGTAGTCCCAGCTACTTAGGAGGCTTAGGTGGGAGGATTGCTTGAGCTCAGGAGGTCGAGGCTGCAGTGAGCTGTGATCGTGTTGTAGCCAGGGCAATAGACTAAGATGCTGTCTCAAATAATAATAATAGTAAATAAAAACGGCATTTTATCAGTATCCACAGCTGGTGCCTTTGCATATTGAATTTGAGAGGCACTAGGATAAAGTCCAAACACAAACTTGGGGTGCCAAAAACTTGTACCTTGCCTAGACCTCACCTAGACAGCCTGTTTTCTCAAGGCCGAGCCCTGGCTGTACTGAAATTCTCACTGTCCCCCAAGCACGGCCTGCTTTGGTACATTTTTGCCCCCAGCTTCCCTCCATCTGAAATGCCCTTTGCCTGTCCTTTCACTCAACATCTTCCGAGAACCAGTCCAAAGATGCTGTCCTCTGGGAAGCTTTGTGGGATCCCCTGACACTGGGCCTCTTTTCTGGGCTTGTGGCGCCTTACACAAACATCCATTCCATCACGTATGACGCAGCTTAGTAATTGGGTTTCGTGTCTGGCTTCCTCACCAGCATGGAAGCTCCACAAAGCAGCAGCCTGGTCACCTTTTCTCTTCCAAGTGCCCAGAACAGCCCCTGGATGCTAACAGGGGCTCCGTAAAGGTTTGTTAAATTACCACCAACTTTATTGAGTGCTTTGTTCTTCCAGGTTCTAAGTGCTTTAGATACATGAGTTCCCTTAATCCTTATAAATGCCCTCAGAAGTAGGTGGTGTAAACCCATTTGGCAGATGAGAAAAGTGAGCTTAGGGAGGTTAAACCACTTGCCCCAAGTTCACAAGTAAGAGGCACAGAGAGCATTTGAGACTGCAGAGCCAGGACTCCTAATGGTCTCGGGACAGAAAGAGCTGAGGTTAGAAGCAGGGGAAGGTGGGCAGATGGGACGGGCAGCTCTACGTCCTGTGGAAGCAGCAGCACCCGTGTCTCAGAGCCTCTCTAATTTGTTGTCGGGATGGGGAAGACTGGTGGCTTTGTGGCCTCTGTTGCTCTTCCACCCTGACCTCCCCATCCCCGCCCCCCAGCCCATGCAGGTGCTATTTTCCGGTGAGGCCACCCACCGCAAGTACTATTCCACCACCCATGGTGCTCTGCTCTCTGGCCAGAGGGAGGCCGCCCGCCTCATCGAGATGTACCGAGACCTCTTCCAGCAGGGGACCTGAGGGCTGTCCTCGCTGCTGACAAGAGCCACTAACTCGTGACCTCCAGCCGGCTCCTTGCTGCCGTGTGTTCCTGCCTTCCTGATCCTCTGTAGAACGGATTTTTCTCTTCTGTAGAGCTCGCTGCCCTGACTGCCTTCAGACCCGGCCCTGTAGCTTTTCCTTTTCTCCGGGCTGTGAGCAGGTGGGCCGTTGAGTTACCTCTGTGCTGAATCCCACGCCCCCTCTTCCTGTCCTCTGTCCCACCTTGTTATTGTAAGTGCCTTCAATACTTTGCATTTTGGGATAATAAAAGAGGCTCCCTCCCCTGCCCCTCAGCTTCTTTCTGGTTTTCTCAGCCTCTGTGTATGTGGGTGTGTTTATTTCTATCATATCCCCTTTGAGTAAGAGGGAGAAGGCGGGGGAGCCCTGGCCTGGCTGTGTTTCCTGGAAGGGGTGTCCCCTCCCCCCATCTGTTGGGGTATTTACTTTCCTGCCAGTAAGGCCCCTCAGGAATAAGGGCCTCTCTCACCATCCACCTGCTCCTTCAGGTCTGGCCTGGGTCTGCCCGCTGGCCCTTTCTTTGCTGGACTTCTCTGAGTTGAAGCCTGGAGTGAGGGAGTTCTGTGGGAGGGGACCCCAGCTGTGGCTCCATGCCAAGCCTAGGTATGTTCATTGTTAATCAGTGTCCTGGCCACTGGGCTGTGGGTCTGGCCCCTGGGGTGGCTCCCTTTGAACCTCTGGGAAGGTGGTCATTCTGGGCCTTTTTAAAAATTTTTTACTTTTTTGGCAGGGGGAATATCCTAAGGCCTGCTGTTTATTGGGGGATAGATTTTTCTTCTCTTCAGCTGGGTTCAGTGCCCCATGCCTGTAATGCCAACACTTTGGGAGGCCAACGTGGGAGGATCGCTTGAGCCCAGGAGTTTGAGGCTGCAGTGAGCCATGACTACACCACTGTACTCCAGCTTGGGTGACAGAATGAGACCCTGTCTCAGAAAAAGTAAAGAAGGTGGTATTTGTTATCCTTTACATGTAAGCTGCCAAGCATCTCAGTATTCAGGAATATTTCACACCCCAAATATAAAGTGATCAATACTTTACATACTAGGCATCTAGGAAAAGGTCCTGGGCTGGGCATGGTGGCTCATGTCTGTAACTCCAGCACTTTGGAAGGTTGAGCCAGGAGGATTGTTTGAGCCCAGGAGCTTGAGACCAGCCTGGGCAATACAGTGAGACCCCATCTCTGTAGGTATCTTTAAAAATAATAATAATAAACTTTTATTTTTCTTCTCTTTTTGCTGAGTTAAAAGACACACCTACCCCCTTATGTACACTCACCCGAATATACAGGTACACATACCTACATATACTCACCACTACACCTTACACATAACCCACATAGCATATGCAGGAACACACACCTACATACACTCATCTCTATACACATATGCCCACCTACATAGACACACACACACACAAACACACAGCATCTTGTTACTCCAGATTTCTAGTGACAAAATTTGAATTCAGATCCATGGATCTGTCCATGTGGTTTAAGTCTAAAAGCTCCATAAGGATCCACTGAAATGTCCCCATTCACCTTAAAGAACTGTCCCCAGTCACCTTAAAGAACAGTTAGTCATTTTGTTATCCTGGTAAAATTCTAGTGGTAAAATTTGAATTCTATAGAGTTAAAGGGGTGGGATGATGGGGAGAAGTTATGAGAAGCCACGTGGGTCCCTCTGGTCTAACTCTATCAGGTCCCCGCCATGGACATTTAGGGCCCTGTCCTTGATAGGACACGACATCCCCTTCCTCCTCCCAGGTAAGTGATTCATAGCCTGTCACTCTGTTGCCCAGGCTGGAGTACAATGGTGCAATCATGGCTCACTGTAGCCTCAGACTCCTGGGCTTAAATGATCCTCCTTCCTCAGGAGTAGCTGGGACTACAGGCATGTACCACCATGCCTGGCTAATTTTTATTTTTCTGTAGAGACAGGGTCTTGTTATTTTGCTAAGGCTGGTAGGTTGTGATGGAGATGTCTAACACACAGACACACCTACACACATGCTTATCTGCATCCACTTACACGCACACACCTATGTGCAGATACCTCACAGCCATTTTGCTCTGCCAGGGTTGATCCGCCAGAAATCTTCATGAAGCTTAAATCAAGGGATTCATACGCACCTGCTGGCATAGCTAAAAAATTCCTAAGTATATATACAATTTTTTTTTTTTGAGATGGAGTCTCAGTTGCCCAGGCTGAAGTGCAGTGGTACAATCCCAGCTCACTGCAACCTCCACCTCCCAGGTTCATGCGATTCTCCTGCCTCAGCCTCCCAAGTAGCTGGGATTATAGGCATGCACCCATGCCTGGCTAATTTTTCTATTTTTAGTAGAGATGGGGTTTCACTATATTGGCCAGGCTGGTCTCAAACTCCTGACCTCAGGTGATCCCCCTACCTTGGACTCCCAATGTGCTGGGATTACAGGCGTGAGCCACCACGCCCAGCCTATATATGAAAAATTTTGTGAATAGAGGATCTGTTCATGTGGTTTAAGCCCAAAAGCTGTACATACGGATACACTGAAATGTTCTCCCTCACACTGTCCCCAGTCACTGTTGCCTCTCCCACAGCCCTATGAGTATCCATTCCTAGAAGTAAGTCAATATAAAAACACTTCTCCCTCCTTTTTACACAAAAGTGCCAAAGTATTCATCCTGTCCTGCATTTTGCTTGGTTTAGTTAACAATATATCTTGTAAGCCAGGTGCAGTGGCTCACATCTGTAATCCTAGCACTTCAGGAGGCTGAGGCAGGTGGATCATCTGAGGTCAGGAGTTTAAGACCAGCCTGGCCAACATGGTGAAACTCTGTCTCTACTGAAAGTATAAAAAACTAGCTGGGTGTGGTGGTGTATGCCTGTAATCCCAGCTATTTGGGAGGCTAGGAGAATCTCTTGAACCCAGGAGGTAGAGGTTCCAGTGAGCCAAGATTGTACCATCGCACTTCAGCCTGGGCAACAAGAGCAAAACTTTGTCTCAAATATATATATATGACATCTTTATATATATGTATTTGGACATCTTCCCATAACAGTACATAAACAGACAATGTAAATTTGGACCTCACTTTGGTCAAAGCATGTCTATCTCTTTCCTGGCCCAGGTGACTTCTGTCACCTGTTAACCTTCCGTGACTCACAGTCTGCTTCTCAGTCCTCAGCTGATGGACTTCCCCGCCCACTGCAGTGAGATGGAGACAAGCAGCCCCATCACATAAGTGTCAGGGAAGAAAGTGATAAATAGATTCTCAGTGTATAGGCAGAGGAATTTTAAAGGACCTCATGGGGGTGAAAGGGCTGGAAATGTTTACTTGGTGACGGCAACTCTGGGAATTTCACGGGTGGGTAAGAGGGAGGGAGGGAATATTCACTTAGTACTGATTGCCTGGCATGAAGCCATGTGGATGTGATACTGATTTGACATTGATGCCAGCTCAGTCTTGGGAGGGCAGTTTATTTCTGTGGGCAAATGAAACCTCAGAGAAGTTAAGTAACTTACCCAAGGTTGCTCAGTGGTGCTGAGACATGAGCTGAAGTCTGTCTGTGTGGTGTAGGCTCTTTCTTTTTATTGTATGATAAAAAGAAGAGGCTGGTGCCACCAAAAAAGCTTAAGGTCATTGCTGGAGAGAGTGGGTGTGGTATGACCACACTGGGAGACTGTGGCAGAGTCAGCTAAAACTGGCCATGTGCTTGTCAGCATTCCCACCCCCACGTATACACCCAAGAGAAAGGCATGCAGATACTCACCAAACATATATACCAGCATATCCACAGCAACATAGTTCCTAATAGCTAAAAACTGGAAACTGCCCAGATGTCCATCAACAGTAGAATGGATAAATTGCAGTGCACTCAAACAGTAAAATACTATATAGCAGTAAATAAAAGGAACGGATACTTTGCAACAACATGGATTAATCTCAGAAACGTCATGTTGGCAGGGTATGATGGCTTTTGTACTCCCAGCACTTTGGGAGGCCAAAGCAGGGGGATTGCTTGAGCCCAGGAGTTCAAGACCAGCCTGGGCAACGTGGCAAAACCCCATTGCCACAAAAAATACAGAAATTAGCTGGGCATGGTGGTGCATGCCTATAGTCTCAGCTACTGGGGAGGCTGAGGTGGGAGGATTGCTTGAGCACAGGAGGTTGAGGCTGCAGTGAGCTGTGATCATGCCACTACACTCCAGCCTGAGCAACAGAGCAAGGCGTCATCTCAAAACAACAGCAACAACAACTGCCCCCCAAAACCATTATGTTGAATTAAAGAAACCAGAGAAAAGGCTATGTACTGTATGATTTCTTTTACATGAAGTTCAAGAACTTGAAAAACTAATCTACTGTGTTAGAAATGAGGGGCTGGGGTGGTGGCTGGGCAGGAGCGGGATGGGGGCACTTCCTGGGGTTACAGAAGTATTCCACATCTTGCTCTGGCTGGTGGTTGCATGGGCATACACATTGGTAAAAATGCATCAAGTTATACGTAGAAGAAAGTTTCAAGAGTCTGAGAATGCCCTCTCTCCATTCTCCCATTCCAAAGCATGGTCGTGTTGGGCCAGCTAATTTCCTCCTTGTAGCTGCAGAGATGACACATTGAGAGTAGATAAAGGGAGGAGAGGCCCACTTAGGCCCCACTGGCTGCCTGGTGATAAGGAGTGACCTCAAATTCATATAGGATGTCACTGTTTACCAGCTCCATTGCCTGTACCCCCTTATCCTCTCTGCATCTGCAGCCATGAAAGGGAGGTTGGGATTGTTCCACAGCAGAGGAAATCCAGGTTCTCGGAGGGACCTTGGGGAAGCCACGAAAGGCCACTCAGCTTGGAGAGGACGTGACCTCATGGGGAAGGGAGTAACCCTGGGAGGAAGCCTAGGGGGAGCCTTTGGATACACAGGCAGGAACAGGCACCAGAGGGGGCACCTCCTCCACTGCGATGCCTCCACATCAAATAATTGCATAATGTGGGTACCATTTATTGACAGTTTCAAAAACCAAACTCACTCAAGACAGATGAGTGATGAAGAGCAAGAGCCATTCAGAAGCAAGGAGATATGACATACAGGGAACACAGGATATGTTCCATGCTGTGATGAAGTTTCAAAATAGACTTGGCATTGATTGAAACCCACAGGGATCTATCAGGGTGACAAATGTGACATGCTCAGGCCAACACCCATGCCAATGGTTCCTATAAAATTCCCATTGCCTGGTAGAATTTCATGGGAGAGGAAAGTTCTTTCCTGAGCTAGGTTCTGTGGAGGTTTGGTTGCAT